CGCAGAGAAACTTCCGGAAGGTTGGCGGTAGGGCTGTGCCGGAGCGGCGCCGGCGGCGGGGGCGGCGTGGGGGGTCTCCGGGAAGCTCAGGGGCCTGGAGGGAGAAAACAGGGATGTGCTGGGTTAGGAGAACATGATTCTATAATTCCATGATTCTATGATTCCATGATCCCATGATTCTATGATTCTATGATTCCATGATCCCATGATTCTATAATTCTATGATTCCATGATTCTATAATTCTACGATTTCATGATTCTATAGTTCTATGATTCTATAATTCCATGATTCTATGATTCCATGATTCTATAATTCTATGATTCCATGATTCCATGACTCTATGATTCCATGATTCCATGATTCCATGACTCTATGATTCCATGATTCCATGACTCTACAATTCTATGATTCCATGATTCTATAATTCTATGATTCCATGACTCTATAATTCCATGATTCTACGATTCCATGATTCTACAATTCCATGATTCCATGATTCCATGATTCTATAATTCCATGATTCCATGACTCTATAATTCTATAATTCCATGACTCTATAATTCTATGACTCTATAACTCTATGATTCCACGATTCTACGATTCCATGATTCTACGATTCTACAATTCCCTGACTCCATAATTCCATGACTCTATAATTCCATAATTCCATGACTCTATAATTCCACGACTCTATAATTCCACGATTCCATGACTCTATAATTCTACGATTCCATGATTCCATGATTCTCTGAGGGATCTCTCCCGGTGCCGGTGCCCCCCTCCCTCTCTCACCTCTTTCCGTGGGGCGTTGGCGGTTCCCGGTGCGGTGCCACGGGCGGCGCTTTGGCGCGTTTGGGCGCGGCCGGGCCGCTCCACTGCCAGCCGGCGCTGCTCCGGAACGGCGGCCGGAACGCCGGGAACGGCTCCGGGTCGGCTTTGGGCTCCGCGGGGCACGACGAGCTCAGCTCCAGGGATTCCGACCAGCCCCTGCGGACAGACCAGGGAGTCACGGGGAGCGAGGGGAAAGGGGTGGCAGGGATGGCATGGGGGTGGCACTGGGATGGCAACAGTGGGACAGGGATGGCACCAAGGGCACAGGGATGGCAGCAGTGGGACTGGTGGCACAGGGATGGCACAGGGATGGCACCAGTGGGACAGGGATGTCACAGCGATGGCACCAAGACACAGGGATGGCACCAGTGGGGCAGGGATGGCACAGGGATGGCACCATTGGGACAGGGATGGCACCAAGGACACAGGGATGGCACCAATGGCACCAGAGGGACAGGGATGGCACCAGTGGCACAGGGATGGCAATGATGGCACCGGTGGCACAGGGATGGCACAGGGATGGCACCATTGGGACAGGGATGGCACCAGTGGGACACGGATGGCACAGCGATGGCACCAAGACACATCGATGGCACTGAGATGGCACCAGTGGGACAGGGATGGCACAGCGATGGCACCAAGAGACAGGGATGGCACCAAGGGCACAGGGATGGCAGCGATGGCACAGGGATGGCACCAAGGACACAGGGATGGCACCAAGGACACAGAGTTGGCACTGATGGCACCAATGGCACATGGATGGCACCAAGGACACAGGGATGGCACCGATGGCACAGGGATGGCAGCAGTGGGACAGGGATGGCACCAATGGCACCAGTGGCACAGGGATGGCACCAGAGGGACAGGGATGTCACTGATGGCACCGATGGCACAGGGATGGCACCAAGACACAGGGATGGCACCAATGGCACTGGTGGCACAGGGATGGCACCAAGACACAGGGATGGCAAGGATGGAGTTGATGTCACCCACGTCACACCCATGTCACCCATGTCACACCAGTGTCACCCATGTCACACCAGTGTCACCCACGTCATCCACAGAGCCCATGGCACCCATGTCACACCCATGTCACACCAATGTCACCCACGTCACACCAATGTCACCCACAGAGCCCATGGCACCCATATCACACCCATGTCACAGCAATGTCACCCATGTCACACCCATATCACCTGCAGCACACGATGTCACCCATGTCACACCCATGTCACCCATGTCACACCCATGTCACCTACATCACCCCGTCACACCCACGTCACACCAATGTCACCCGTGTCACACCAATATCACACCCACGTCACCCACATCAGCCGCAGCACACGATGTCACCCATGTCACCCACGTCACACCAACGTCACCTGTGTCACACCAATGTCATGCACATCACACCCAT